CCAGTTTTCCCGACTTCGTTTTACCCTTACATCTTATTTCTACAGTACCTTTCCTCCATACACCGTCCTTTCTGAGGCTCTCCACCAATCCCCTGAGGAATTTTCAGAGGATAACATTCCCCCATTACCTCCATGTTGATATAATTATTCTCTTCTGCCTTATCACTTCATACATGATTTCTTTGCTGTTGGGATCTACTTGGTAGGGACACTGTCTTGCCTCAGGTTTGTCTACCTCCAACAATCTTCATAACATAAGGATTGCTCCCTTTCTCCGTAGGTCTGTTTTTAGAGTCGTGCGGAATCTGTGAGGCAACACCCAACCCTTTCTTCTTTGGTTGCTTGTTTATTTCAGCTGGCTCCCATACCAACTTCTATACCTGTTTTCCATTCTACATTCTCCCATTCTTTGCATGTTCCTTCCTCCAGGGACCCATCAGTTTGTCATTTGACTCGCTGCTACCAACAGTTCCGGTGACTGTCAGGTGGTTCCTGGCCCAGTAGGGGTGCATTTTTCTGATTTTGTTCACCTGTGGAGGGAGTTCACTCTCAATCCATGGGTGATCAGGGTTTTGTCAGATGAACTTTTTCTTTGTTTTCTCTCCCCACTGCCTTTGTCTTCTGTCCCAATATCCTTCCCATTACTTTGGGATCCCACTGCCAGTCAATGTCTGTCAGAGGCTTTTTAGACTCTTTTCTCTCAGTGCAATATTGAGCCTGTCAGCCAGGCTTTTTGTCATCCCCAAGCAGACTGTGGACTGCCTTCCTGTGATCGATCTGTCCTGCTTCAAGCTTTCCCGTTTTACCATGGAATCCTTTTTCACACTTCAGACCAAGATGGACATTCTGGATGCTTACCTCCATATTACCATTTCTCATCAGTACCATGGTAGATCGTCTTTCTCAACCCTATCATGTTTACCACACAGAATGGTCCCACAACCTTCAGGTTTTCTGGTGGCTTTGTATTCAGTGGAGTACTCCTCATCTGGATGCTTTTTCCACTTCCCTAAACACTAAGTTACCTCTTTTTTGGTCTCTTGTTCCTCATCTACATGCCCTGGCAGTGGATGCTCTCAGTCAGGACTCAACCAACCTTTATGTACCTTTATGTGTACCCTCCAATTCAGCTTCTTTCCAGGGTGATTTTGGTAATCCATTCCACTTTGTGCCAGATTCTTCTGATTGCTCCTTACTAGCCAGCACAAGCTTGGTTTCCTCTTCTCCTTCAACTCCAAACTATCCCCATTACCTCTTCTGCTCACTTCATCCCTCCTCCATCATCCTCAGTCACCAGTCCTTTATCTTGCTTTTCACACCCTACAACTTCATGACTGGCATTTATCCAGTCCTTTGCGAGATTATCTGGATTGTCAGTGCATGTCGTTTACATTTTAGCCTGGTTTGTTTTCCCTTCCTCCCTTGCAGTTTATCAGTGTAAGTAGAATGTCTTGGACTGTTTGTCTTCAAGCTGTTGGCATTTCACCTTCTTTGCCCACATTTCCTCTCCTTACGGATTTTCTTATCTGGTTGTTCAATCATGGGGCTTCTGCCTCTTCTACTGCAGATTATCAAGCAGCCTTGTCCAACACTCTCCATTTTTCAAGACACCATGTTATGTTTTCCTCTCCTACTGTCTCCCTTTTATTGCTAAAAGGAGGAGGAAATAAGTTTAAAAGATAGGTATTACAGGAAACAGAAGGTCAAAGGTTCAAATAGAGGGAGTGTGAGACAGTGAAAACAATATTGACATTCCAGTCTAGAAGAACCACCTGATTAGTAGATTTACGAATCCAGAAAGCCATGTTGGTCTGATATCTTTGTCCTCGACTTTTCACGTACTCTGTTCCATTTCACATATGTTCTTCTTTATCTGGATCGATCTTTCCTACCCACAACTTTGGCTGCTCATAAGGGACATTCTTCATCCTTACCAATTTCCCTTCCCTCCATTTCCCACCTCTTGGTCTGATCTGGATAGACTTCATACTCTTGCTATATTGCATGCACAACCTCCTTCCACGGTTCCTGAACCCTCCTTTTAATTCCCTGGTACCTTTCCTCCTTGTGTGACCTTCCTCCTTCCACCCTGACAGGTTGGGTTTGCCAGCTTATTAGACTGGTGTATTCTTTCATGTCTCCTACTTCCTGCAATTTGTTCAAGGTGTTGTTTCATCAGGTACAGCACCTTACCTTTTCTATGGCATTGCACCTCTATTGTCCATTGGAGAAAATTCTTCAGTCAGGCATGTGGATGACACCTCATTCATCTCCCACTACATTCATCAGGTGGCTGTTTCTTTCTTGTCAGGGTACTGCCTTCCACCTATCACCTTCAAACATCAGTTCGACTGAGACTTGGTAAGTTATCATTTTCTATATATTACTTTTGCTTACAGTGGTATGTCCCTTTTAGCTCTAGGATCCCACTCAGTTAAGAGCATTGCCTGTCCAGGTATACTATTTCTCTATTCATTCCAAAAATCTGCACTGTACACCCAACCATAAGTTATCCTGGACATATTATCTGCTTTCTAGTGTCTCAATCGCTCCACCTCCATGTGGTGGGTCCTGGAGGTTGATGTTGTGTAGTCTAGGCTCTGATTGTTCTGTGGCCTGTGGTTACTCTGTACATTCTGCTGGTGATACATGCACTCCAGCCTCTGTGCTGTCCTATAAGGAGGATGATGTTGCATGTGTTACTCCAGCCACTCCACCTTATTGTGGTTGGGCCCTAGAGAATGATGTTGTACAGGATAGCTTGGAGAGGGCTATATGGGACATCCCACTGAAGTTGTCTTTGGGTGGAGGCTCATACCACTAATCTCAATGTATACCAATGGTCAGTAATGCACACTATAGAAATGAGGTATTCCATAAGAGCGGCAGTAGGTTTTCCATGGGATAATTTGCCCGTGGATTTTCAGGGGTAAAGTAATAGAGAATTGCTAACCATCCCTGCCATTCCTTCAACTTAATAAATTATCTTGACTCTCCACCAGATTTTTTTCCACAATTTCTTCTAGTGGAGTATGAGAGTCCTTGACACTTTCCAGTTCCTATCTGCTGGGGTGGTGGACCATGGAGGCAACCTCCTGAATGTGTTCACTTCCATTCAATAGAGAGTAGGTCAGTGGTTTTCTGCTGGTGTAGATGGCATAGATCCTCCACTTGTTTGCTCCATGTCTGTGCTGTGGGTCCTGTAGGTTGTTGTTGTGCATGCATGTGCTCCAGCTTCTGTGCAGTCGTATCCAGGGAATAATGTTGCACATATATCACTATAGTATATTCCATTTTGCTGTTCACCCCTCAGATTTGAATCCCTTGTCCTTCCATTAACTGGATGTCAGTTCCAAGTGAGTGGTTTTAGATTACATCTGGACCAATCAACATAAATCCTCACACTTGTGTTGGTCGTAATTCCTTATGCTACCTTGATCACAGGTTTTTGCCTCATATGCTTCACCTCTGTGCATTGGGTCCCAGAAGCTGATGTTGTGTGGATTTGGTTTGATTTGCCTCAGCCCAGTGGTTACTTGAGGTGTCGACCAGTTATCTATGTTCTTCAGCTCCTGTGCAACCCTATTTGGAGGTTCACTACCTGAGATGGATGTTGCACAGAGTGGAACTAGTACATTTGGTTTTGAATTTGATGTGAACTGCCCCAGTAACACATCCCTTCCTACTTTTGTTCAAATGTTGGGTTCCCAGATGACTGGTATTGGTTGTGGATTTGTGTACATGTGCCCTGTTTAGTAGACTAAACCCAACTTGAGGTGAAAATGGTGTGGACCCTCCACCCACCACGGGTCAGATTATCTATGCCCAATAATACTGCCTGGTTTTGGACTGGAGTTGAGCTACTGAGTATGATCTGTCATGCCATAGCCCCTCAACACCAAGGGACACTTTCATTTTAGCTTTCCCCACCATCAGATTTCTGTCGGGGGACCCTACATCCATTCTTATCCTGGATAATGATTCCAGTGGTTTCAATGGGATGTGGGTTGGAACCACTCAGTTTTTTCTTTCATTCATTGAATTTTCTCCTCCCAATTTCTGCGACACCTACTACCATACTGGGTGAAGAGTATACCTAGTACAGAAGTGGTTTAGTCTCCCATGTGTGTTGCTCTCCCAGTGGGGGTTCACACTCCATGGGTATTCTTTAGATGCCTTCAAAAGATGCTTATCTATATTTACTGCACCACTCCCTCCACCTTTACAATGTGGGATTCTAGCTATTATGTGAGAATAGGTAAGGTACCACATTGGAAATTATTTCCCTACACTGAAAATATATTTCTGATGTATTTACCTCTTTTCATACTTCTCAACCTTCCTCCCCACTTAAAACCAATGCTTAATTTCTGCCTAATCTCGAAGTGATGGTTAGGTAGTATCAAACAGAGAGAGAGCCACATATGACAGGGGTGTGTGTTGCACTCCTGTTGGTGGAGGGTTGTCGCATGATGATTTATGTGTAAAGACACAGTGAATCATGTTGATTGTGGGGTAAGTGGGAATTTCAAGGCTTGTGGAATGCAAAAACATTTGCGTATAGAGGTCAACACTAAACGAGAATAGCTATATACAGAAACCTTGGCATATGAATTTGTTGGTTAAATAATTCTTTGTGGGTATCTTCTCTAATGTGCTGCAGTAGGTGGTTGCCTACTTTGCTTGTTTGACAATACCAATTATGTTATGGCAAATTCCTTTTCTTTGTAGTAAAGTACAACACTAGAATCTTTTTTTTCAGTTCATTTAAGCTTTACAGCTAAGTTAATTTGTATATAATAAGATGCTATTATTAGTCATGTGAGATTGAAGTGTTTTGTGCATGCCTACAGCTTTGGATGGGGACTCATCCATCAGGACCAGCAACTATCATCAATAATACAGCCCTAGAAGGCACTTTGCTGAAAGACTGGATCAAGAAACACCCAGAAAGCATTGGCAAAAAAGTTGTTAACAAGTTTGGACCAGATCTTCCCTTTCTTTTCAAAGTTCTTTCAGTCAACAAGGCACTTTCAATACAGGCTCATCCAACAAAAGTAAGTAGACACTTTTCTATACTTACATACCTAAGGCAGAAATTGATAAATAAATCATTTAACCAAAGAAAGCACAGCTCTAAGTAGACAACTTTTGAATAAATTCACTTAGGAAATAACACCTATCATACAAACTTATACAAGGAAATTTAATAGACACCTGTTTTCCAATATGATATCTTACCTCCTCTCACAAAAAGCTTTCTCGACTTATACTGCCTCCTATTGGTGCAAATTTTTGCTCCCCACTAACCTTGATACTCCCACTTATTTTTGCATACTAACATGCTAATGATAATGCAGCAACTCTCCACTAATAGGAGTGCAACACTACCCCTATCATAAGTAGTGCCCTCTCTAATCTTGCAGCTGCTAACCAGGCTCTTCTTAACGTGGAACTGATGTACATTTCCAGATACTGCCTGGTGTTGGTTGATTGAACTTGTTCTCTATGCTTTCAAAAAACAATTTCATAACACATATCCAGATCATATTATGCCCACTGTTGAGATGGGGTGTTCTGCAGGACTGTTCATAGGTATACCTCATGGTTGTTTGCTTTATAAGTATGTTCATCCTGGACCGTACACTTATGGACTAACATGAGTAAATCAGACAGGGATTGCTTCCCATCTATGATGATCCATGGCATTTGATGCTCATCCTTCTGCAGACCTGATATACAAATCCAGATGCTGCTAGGTATTAGATGATGTACATGATCGCTCTGCTTTTCAATATAGAGTATCACGGCCACCTATTACACTGTGTCTGGTGCTGTGTTCCTCCAGACTCTCCAACACGTTATTTCCCTCCTTCTTCTAGGAGTATGAAAGTCCTTGCCACTTACCAGTTCCTAGGTGCTGGGGTGGTGGACTATGGAGGCCTATCCTCCTGAGTGTGCACAACTCCGCTTAGTAGAGAGTAGGGTGGTGGCATTCTTCTGGTGTAGATGGCATGATGTCCTTCTTACTGTAAACTTGATGTATAATTCCAGATTCCACTGGGTGTTGGATGTAGCACTCCACCATATATATATATTTGTGGGACTCTAGCTTTATGTAAGAAGAAAAAAAATATCATATCGGAAATTAACATTTTCCTAAACTGAAAATGTATTTCTAATAGAAACTTACCCTCGCTCACATTTCCCACCCTTCTTCCGGTTTCGTGGGTGTGATCTGACCAATCTCGAAGTGGTTAACAGCTACAAGATTAGAGAGGGTGCTAATTATGATAGAGTAGTGTTGCACTCCTGTTGGTGGAGGGTTGCTGCATAATCATTTGCATGTTAGTATGCAGAGATAAGTGGAGTATCAAGGCTATTGGCGAGCAAACATTTGCACCAATAGAGGGCAGTGTAAGTTGAGAAAGCTTTTTGTGAGAAGAGGTATCTATCGGAAATACATTTTCAGTTTAGGAAAATGTTAACTTTGCTGTGTATAGCTCTATCCAAGGATCATAAGAAATATGTATGTTATATAGATTCATTCATTCAAGAAAAGTAAATAGATATATTTGTATAAATTTATACAAGGAAAGTGGACATGCTTCATTCAGGACCACTCAAGGATATTAAATAGACATCTTTTATCCAGATACATTTAAAAAATAAATGGAACAAATTTTATATATTCACCCAAGGGAAGTAGAAAGATATTTTTCATACAGAATCACTCAAGGATAGTGAATGAACACCTTTTATTCACGTTCATCTGAAGAAATAAATAAGTCGAACACATTTTCTAATAGGTTTCCTGAGAAAAGTAAAAATATATCTTTCAAATAGTTTCACTCAAGTAAAGTAGATATATTTAGTATAGGTTCATCCAAATAATTTACATTTACACTTTTTAAATTAGCTTATTGAAAGAAACTGAAGCTCAGGTTTTGATAACGAACCAACCAAAAAGAAAGTGGTTTGTACAGGCTTACACACCTTTATACTAGCTTACCCAAGGGAAGTAAGTAGATATCTTCTATGCATAATCACTTAAAGAAAGAAAGTGGACATTTTTTGTCCATGTCCTTTGAGAAAGATCTGTTGACAGATTTTTACAAATTCATCAAATACTATTACCTTTAAAACTGTTTTGTTGAAGACATATCTGAGTAAGCTACTGAGAAATGAAATGGTAACCTTTTTGCTATTAACCTGTTAAAATTCAAAAATAAATAAATACTACATGTATTCTCACTAGGAACATGCTGAACAACTTCATCAGTTAATGCCAGACAAATATCCTGATCCTAATCATAAGCCAGAAATGACAGTTGCCTTAACTCCATTTGAGGCTCTTTGTGGATTTCGGCCTTTAAGTGAAATTAAAATGTTCTTTGAAGGTAAAGTATATCATGTGTTTACTGAAATCTTTGTTTTAAACAAGAAACTTATATTTTTATTAATATTTTTTGTTTATCAGGGATGAGAATTGTTTGCAATTTGTGGATTTCTGCCATTTGCCCATTTCTATTGTTAGATTGGCTAACTATCAAATTTGTTAAAATCCAGAAAGATTTTAGGGACAAGAGACAAAATACCAGAGATTGCCTTGTCTTCTTTGGTGATTTGAATAAACTGAAATCTTTGTTTCCTAAACCAACGCAGGATGAATCTAGTAGAAACACAGTGGATATTACATTGTTATAATTCTGATTTGAAATTTCTAAACTTAATTACTTATGTGATTTTTAAATACATAAATTTGTGTGAATATATGGGCATTCTTTGTGGGTTTTTTTTACTTTCTATACTAGTTGTTCCAGAGCTGAAGGCTGTTGTGGGAGAAGCAGCAGCAGAGTTAATATCAGCAGAAAGTCAACAAACCTTGAAGAAATGTTTTACATCTTTGATGACATGTCCTGAAGAATCATTTAAGAAACATCTGCAATCACTTATTGAGCGGCTTCAAGATTGTTAGTACAAGTTTTTTTTTCCTGCCTTCAATATTTAGTGTAGGTTTATATAGCATAACTATTTGATCTGATTTATCTTACATGAATATTCATAAAGCAAGAAGTATGCATTATTCACATTTAATATTTCAAGGTATTGGGTGTTTGCATTTTTTAACTTTTGTGTAGGAGAACTAACATTACATGAACTTTTGTTTTTGCATTTGGCATCTGTTTTACAATTTTAACCCTTTTGTGACAGCTATCCCTTTTAACACTATGCACAAGTCACTGAGTTACTTTCAAAATTTAATGAAACAACTTTGATATCAAGGTATGTGAATGGAATTAACATTATAATGTATGTTATGATTCAAAGTTTTATGTTATGTAAGTTTTAATTCCTTTGTTTCTAAAGAAACCTTTTAAAAGTACTTAACCTTCAGTTTTGTGTTGTCACATGACCCATGAGCTATGAAAAATATCAACTTTCACACTTTCTATCTTGATTCAGATAATGCCAGCCCTGTAGGTGTATGTCTAGACAATTAAGTATGTTTACTTGCCCTTTTGACAAGTTCAAATTTATATGGTTGAATGGAGTAGAAACAAGTAATAAATTTCGTCAACTCCCTAATGGGTGCCACGCCCACCTTCTATACTTTTGCTTGAGCTTTATAACGTACATGTAATTGCTAGATATACGTGTATATAATCATTAGAAAGAGCTCATTTTACACAATAATCCACCAACAGTTATTTTGAAATTGGCACAGTTTTCAGTTTTTATTATCTGGTAGATCTAATTGCCTGTAGCATTGTTGGCTGCTTGATCTCTAATAGTACTTACAGTTTTTTCTTAGCTAAATATTTTATAATTTGAAAGACAGCTAAATTATATTTACTTAATATGTATCAGTTAACAATGCAATCATATACTATTCCTAAGAAGATTAAATAATTTTAAAATTGTTATCGTTTTAAAAGTTTGGTTTTTCTTTAGCCAAACAAGAAAATGAACTTGACCAAAACTTGAAATTAGTGCTTCTTCGTGTCCATTCCCAGTTTCCAGGAGATATTGGCTGTTTTGGAGTTTTCTTTTTTAATTATATTGTGCTTGAACCTGGAGAAGCAATGTTTTTACATTACTTCTTCAGGTAAACAACAAAACATAATACTTTGGAATTTAGTAATTGAACAAATAGTTAACATAAAATCTTAATAATCAAAGTGAAATACACATACTTTTTTCTGAAAAAAAAATAAACTTATGCTATGCAACTGAATAATATAATTAACATTGTGAATGTTAATGAGTATAATCTCAACACAGAATTTTCAATAAAATGCAGTTACAGAGCAAAATAAAAAACAAAGTTGTCAAATAATTTTTGATGAACAAGCAAAGACTTCGTTTATTTTGGCACAAAGCTACACAATTGGCTATCTGTGCTCTGCCCACCAAAGGGACTTGAACCCCCAATTTTAGCACTGTAAGCCTGTAAACTTACCACTGACTCACCGGGGGACTAAGCAAAAACAACAATAAAAAACTGAGAAGATGGAATATGTACAGTCTACAACTTACCACCAGCTAAATAGGCATGAGGTTCATTAGCTGCCGGTATTTTATGTGTGGTTTTAAAATATCTTGATAGTTTCTTGTTTGACCAAAATATGTAAGAAGGATATATTGGTTTTAAAGTTTCTACAAGATGTTTGATGCTGTTTATAAATGTTTACAGATTGTGTAGAATGTATGGCATGCTCAGACAATGTTGTAAGAGCTGGCTTAACACCGAAGTTTAAAGATGTGAATACATTATGTGAAATGTTGACCTACCAGAGTCGGTCAGCCAAGGACACCTTGTTCCCTTCAGTTAGTGACCCATGTGACAAATTTGTTGTAACTTATGATCCTCCTGTTCCTGAGTTTGCTGTTAGTAAGATACAGGTAATATTGTGTTACTCCTAATGATGTTGTACTTCTGCTATGTTTAGTCAGCTACTTAACAAACATTAAAGGAACAGAAAGAAAACTTGTATATGATTATTCTTCATGCTTATTTGCTTAATTTCTATGAAATATTATTATTATCCCAATTTTTAAAAAAATTATTACAATAGTAGCCCAAAGAAAAAAATGATTATTTAAATACTTTTTTTTTGTTTTAAATATGAACTGCATACCTCATGTTTATACGTATATTTGTTAAGTAATTAAATACATATTGTATCCATGGGGTTTTGAGTCCATTTTAACTCACTGTTTTACTTGGGTACAGCCAATCAAAGAATGCATTGGGCCTGTATGTCACAGATTCTCTTTTCAATTTCACCTCTGATGAAAAATAAAATATATATATATATATATGCACTATTAGTTCTGTCACTGTTGTTTGGCTTCTTTTGTCTTTCATCTTCCTTAAACTTTGGTATCATAAATAATGAATGTATTATGTAAACACCTCAAAACTGCTATTGTCATGTTAATTATGTAACACTGTAAACTCAATTTTTGCTAAAATCTGTTGGTAACTGTTGAAGTTTTCTAACAAATGCTGTCATTGATGGATTGGAGGTAGTCTGGTGGTTAGTGTGCTTGGGTTGTGTATCCAAAAGTTTATGGTTTGCATCCTGTTGCCATGAAAATGAGCTCTGCATTTTAGAGCTGTGGTTGAATTATAAGAGTGACAGTCAATTCCCACTATTTAATGAGAGATGGTGATGGATGCTTTTGACTAGCTGCCTTTCCTATAATCTATCAGTAGAAAATTAGGAATGACTATTTGCAGATGGCCTTTTCGTAGCTTTTCATGAAAATTAAAAAAAAACTGTCGCTAATATAATTTTAATCAACCACATATTTCACCAACTTTTTACAAAGGTGAAAATTGTATGTCCACCTTAAGAATCATATCACATGAGAGATCTGTCAGTTAAAAACATCTTCCAGAATTTGTCCACCACTGTGCCATCATTCAAAAGTATATAATAATGTATATTTCCGATGTAATATCTTACTTCCTCTCACAAAAAGATTTCTTGACTTATACTACCCTCTATTGGTGTAATTTTTGTTCGCCACTAGCTTTGATACTCCCACTTATTTCTGCTTGCTAACATGCAAATGACTATGCAGCAATCATCCATCAATAAGAATGCAACACTACCCCTATTATAACTAGTGCTCTCTCTAATCTTGGAGCTGTTAACCACTTCTCACTTGGCAGTTTTATTGAATAGATGTGTTTTTGCTTGTGGTTTGATTCAGTTATCCACAAGTTTTTACTTTCTTAGTTTTTCTACTGTAATTACATTGTTCTTTACTGTTTTCATTCTTTAGTGGAGAGTTACATATAATTTTATTTATCTTCTCTCCTCTTTCATTTTTGTAAGTTATGTGCTCTCAGTTTCAGGTGGTCATGACTACAACTCCTGCAGTGGAATTCCTAACCACTTCCAATGGGTTGGAACCACGATTTTTGACCCATGAAGTGATGGCTCTGGTCCTTTAGGAGCAGACCAATTTTTTGCAACAATCAGAACAAACTGATGATTCTTCTCCCACAGTTTTCAGTGATCAGGAAGATTTGGATTTGGGCAGCCTTTTTTTTTTCTCCTTTTGAATATGCCTCTCAGTTGTGTGTCATTTTTAGTGACTTGGCCAGACCTCTTTCCCCTTTGGTGGATCTGATTATTCAGGTGTGTTATGTTCAGTCTTTATCTCCTGGTTCCTATCTTCCACGCCTGTCCATTTTGGGGACTATCCTTTGGGTTATTATTTTAGTGTTTCCTCTTTCCCTGGATATTGGGGTTCATACAAGTCGTTCAGGGGTTGGTATGCATCGGTCCCCATGTACTGTGTATGATCATGCTTTTGATTATTATCTTACCAACTTCCCATAATTGGCCTCACAGCATTTGGTGTAGCTTCTCCATTATTGGGGATCGGACCCCAATAATTCGAATACCTTTTCCTGTATTTGTCTTACACTGACCTACATTCTCGGGTCAGAGCTAGATTCCTTAAAACGTACCCACATTTGGAAGCTCTTGGTGGTCAATCCATGGGTTCTGACAGTCATTTCGGTAAGTCTGGTCTTCTACTTCCATTCATCTCCCCTGTTGTTTCATTTCCTCCTCCTTGGGATCCAGTTCTTTTTGTCCAGCTGATTCATTTCAAGGCCCTTTGTTTCCACTGTTCTATTGATGTTTGACTACTTTTTTCCTTGCACATACGGTTTTTTGGTTCATCTCGGGGTGTTTTTCAACTCCCTCCTCCAGTGGGCCCTACCTGCTCCACTTCAGTTGCGAGCTATGGGATGCCTCGTATGCAGCATCTCATCTTCTTCTTCTAGTGTGCAAGAGGTTTTCTCTTTTTTTGGGGGAGGGACAAGGGCTTCTTTCGAAGTCCTTGTGTTTTATCATCAGTGGGTTTTGATAAGCAAATAGAAGCTTGTTCAGGATCCCTTAGATGCCTCTCTTACCCTCCCGTACAGACCATGTCTGACTGATGGTTGGATCAAAAAAATACTACCACGGGTGTTTCTCTTCCTCGTCCAGAATGTCACTTTTTTTTACAGGTACTTCTCTTTTCAGTTGGGGATTGTCTCTTGACGCTCAGGAGGTTTCAGGACAATAATCTCTTTCCAAGTCTTCTCTACATATCGATCTCTTGGAACTTCTTGCCATTCATCTGGCTTTCCTTCACTTCCTAGAGGCTCTTTGGGGCTGGTTGGTTATAGTTCTCTCTGATATTTCAATGGTCATCTCGTACATCACTGGGCAAGGGGCACTCATTCAGCAGACCTCTGTTTGCAAACATTGGATCTTGTGTGTTGGGCCCTCTGCTTCACATCACTTTGTTGGCATGTTATAATCTGGGTGCCCTGAATCTGGTCAAGGATTGGTTATTTTCAGGTTTTGTGTACTCCGTGGGGTGTTCCAGATTTGGACACTCTACCGATTTTGGTCTCCTGTTCCTCATCCATGTAGCGTTCTGTTGGTGGCTACGTATTGGTTGACTCATACATGGTATCTATTGCTTTGCCAGCTTTTGGTGTCACTTCTCTTTCTATCCAACCCTTTTCTGTCAGCCACACACTGGTGTGTGTTATCCGACAATATCGGCACTCCGTCTGCAGGTGTGTCTTTGTCTGGTCCCTCGCCTGAAGGGCCAGATCTTTATGTGTAACTTCATGTGTTGTAAGGGGTTATTGTCCTTTTCATCCTACAGTTCCTCACATATCATCCTTTTTGCCTTGGCTTTTGAAATGGGTCCTTTGGGTTTCCTCTGTTGAGGGCTATAGGGTGACGTTATCTGCCACTTTTCGGTTTACCGACTTTGCTTGTGTTCCCAGTTACCAATCTTATCGATGTTGTTTGGTTCCTTACATTTGTCCCATACTTCCCATCCTCCATTGGACCTTTTATCTTTGTGTTTTTAAATCATCTTTCCTTGAAGTCACTGTTTTTGCTCTTTTTGGTGTGTGAACATTGTTGTTTGGATGTGTTCGTGATTGATATTCACCACATTTTTGTTTCCTTACTTCCTAGGTTCTCTTTCCTGATTGTTCCTTTATGCCCACAACTTTGGCTGCTCAAAAGGGTACTTCTCCCATCACACCCTTTTCCCTTCCCTCTTTTTTTTCTCACATTTATGACCATTCACATCCTGCCTGATGTTCTATGACACATACTGCTTCCTTCCATAGTTTTCTTTTGTGAAATCTTCACCTCTCCCATGATTTTTTCTCATTACCCTTCCGAGTTGAATGAACCAGTTAATTCACCTACTGTTTTCTTCTTTTCTTCTGTTGATTGTCATGTTTTCATGTTTTCTTCCCATCAGATCCTTATCATGTCTCTGGCTGCACATTTCCATCTTCCCTTGGGGGACATCAACAGTGCTATAACTGTTTATCTGTGACTGACGTTAATGTTCTTTCTACTGCAGACCTGATGTACATTTTCACATGCTGGCAGGTATTGGTTGATTGACTCCATCAACATATCAAAATACACTGTCGTAACACATCATAAGGTGATGTTACACACACACACTATTGAGGTGGGGTGTTCTGCGGGACCATTTGTAGGTATCCCTCACAGTCTGTTGCTTCATAAATATGTTCTTCCTAGATCATACAGTCATGGACTAAGATGGGTAAAGGAGACATCATCTCTGATGAACCAAGGCATTGAGGCTTTTCCTACTGCAAACCTGATGTACAATTCCAGACACCACCAGTTTGTGGTTGATTGATTCTGTTGACATGATTGCTGTGCTTTTCAAAATAGGACATTGCAGTCACCCATTGCACTATATCCAGTGCTGTGGTCCTCCGGACTCTCCAACACATTTTTTCCCTCCTTCTTCTAGGGGAGTTTGGGAGTCCTTGCCATTTACCTGTTCCTAACCACTTAGGTAGTGGACCATGGAGGTCTGTCCTCCTGAGTGTGCACAATAGCACTAAGTTGAGAGTAGGGTGGTGGTATTCTGCTGGTGTAGATGGTGAGACACCATTCCTACCACAGACCTGAAATATAATTCCAGATGCTGCCAACTGTTGGTTGTAGCATTCCACCATACATTGCAGTTTGCCCTTCCATCTGAGGCACCCTCCTTCCTATCATCTACCAGATATCAGTTCCCAAGGATCTGGTGTTGGTTGGAGCCAGATCAGCCACGTAAGTTCTCACAAGTGTTCTCACAGACTTGATGCTACATTTTCAATGATGCCAGGTTTTGGACTGGAGATGCAACCCCAAATTGGAGTCACTCTTCCTACTGTCTACTGGATGTCAGTCCCCAGTGGATCTGGTGCTTATTGTAGTTGGACGAGACACTTGAATTGCCACAGGTGTAAGGCTGGGTACCATCCTCCTACTGCAGACTGGACGAAAAATTCCCAATACCTACAGATTTTGGACTGGAGAAGAAGATCCACCTGGGCTCTCCACCTTCTTACTATCTGTAGGATGTCAGTATCCCAGTAGATCTGATGTTTGTTCTGTCGGAGGTGTGCACATGCATAGGTGGGTTTTTAGTGCAGAAGCTCCTATTCCCTACCAGTATCTGGTTTTGAGTTGAAAGGTAGAGGACCTTCCTACAGCAGACTTGATGTCCAATTCCAGACACCGCCAGGTTTTGGTTGAGATCGACCTCCCACTTACGGTCTGTTCTGTTGCGCCTTAGCCACTCTACACCATGGGGTCCCATTATTTTTGTAATTTATTTTTTTTGTGCCTCTATGTTTCCACCTTTTTGGTGACGCATCACTAAGGGGCGAAGAGTATACCTGGCTCAGAAGTGGTGCGGTCTCCCATGGGTTTGTTGTTTCTTATTTCTTCTCACACCCCATGGTTTTCCTTTGGGCGCATCCTAAAGGGGGATCATCTTCTCACTGGTCTCCCACCAGTTCAATGTGGAATTCTAGGTAAGATATCATATCAGAAGTTAACATTTTCCTAAGCTAAAAATGTATTTCCAATAGAAACTTACCTCCCCTCACATTTCCCACCCATCCTCCCCACTTCCAGTTTTGTTTGGTGTGATCTGCCAATCTCAAAGTGGTTAACAGCTGCAATATTAGAGAGGGCACTAGTTATGAAGTTAAGTTATTATGTTGCATCATGTGGAGTATAGTTTCAACACCAGTTTGTCCACAGATTGAAGATACACTGTAGAATCTTTCATGTGCCCTCTCCAAGCCTGTTTCAGTTCACCATAGCATTTGAGGGTGACCTTGCTAAAGAAAGTGCCCAGTGGCCAGACTTGAAAATATACGTAGATATGTTTGCAGGTTTTATTTTATCGTTAAATCCACCATTATTTTACAGTATTTGGATTAATCTCTACATTATAACTTAGTTAGGAAATGTTATGTCACTTTTACATAGAATCAAATTATTCAATAAATAATTTATATTTATTGTTACATTTCCAGGTCCCAACTGGTACTAGTTCCTATGAGTTACAGGCTGTAGACAGTGGCAGTATTCTGTTAGTTTTAAGCGGTGGAGTTCAAGCAAGAAATGCAACTCTGGGATCAGAAAGTCTCGCGCTAAGTCGAGGATCCATCATCTTCATAGCAGCTGGTGAAACCTTACAATTAAAAGATATTTCTGAGAATATTTTAATGTTCAGAGCTATGAGCAAACTATAACAAGATTGTGTGTGTGTATAGAACATAATAAAGTCATTAGTGCACTGATGGAAAGTTTCTGTTGAGTGATTCCTTCAGTCAAAATGGAATCCTAGATATATAGTAACCTAATAAAAAATGAAATATTAAAATATAATAATAGAAAAACTTGTTTATCAAGGTTTATAAAATGCTTGCTATAAGGCAGGTATACTGTTCTTATAATTTTGAATGTATGGATTAACAGCTATTAAAAAGTTATTTTGGAACACACTTTTTTTAGTTGTTTTTTGTTTTCATACAGCGTTTAGGTTCAGTTTGATATAAACTAGAATAAGAGTAGATATGATTTCTATCCACACTAAGGCCTGATTAAAGGGTCTAACCAGAAGAAAATTTATCATTAGTTTGTAGCTGTTTGTAACTTTGTTGGTATTTATTAGCTAATACTTGCTGAAAAGTTGTCGATCTATTTTAATTAAATATCTATGAGAAATCATAGTTGATATCCATCATAATATTGTTTGTAACTTTTTTGAAAGAAATAATTAATTGTTTGGTTGTAGAATCAGTTTCTACCAAAATTATAAAGTAGTGAATATGGCATGAATGTATTTTATCACCAATAAACAAGAATAGATACACATCTTGTCTTCTACATTACATGGTTTTTAGTTGTCTATGAATACAAAATATTTGTTAAAATCTTAAAGTAGAGGATGAATGAGAGCATTTTTTATTATATATACATAGATGATGTTTTAAAAACTTATTGCATGTGACCTCACTTATGAATGGTATTACAAAATTTGTGTCTTAAGATTCAAATTATAAAATACGTAAAAATATCTGATAAAATGATGTAAAGTATCATCTCAGAAAGGAATTTCTGTCTACAATACCTCTTTCATTGTAACTTGAAAAGGCTTTAACAATCTTAGATGTGTAAGGAGAATGTGTTAGAATGTACTGTAATTATGAGAAATCTTGCCAAAGAGAAAACAAGATTTTAGCAAAGTAAACATTTGTTGCAAAACAAAAACCTAAACCATGATATGTATGTATATATTACCTAACATACACCATAATAAAGTGTAACTACTTTACACTTTTCATTTTAGGATAACTTAGAACATCTTATAAAAATATCCTTTTTAAGTAATAATTAGAGATCTACAAGTACATAATATAATGTGAAAGTTTTTATTTTTTACATGTTACAGTTGTAAAAGAAAATATTTTTATTTTGTTGACCCATAAAAAATTAAAGTTGCAAACTAATCTGGTGGTATGAAGAGTTGATTATCCCTTAGTAATTATTAAAGATAATATTAAAAGTTTTTATTATTAATAATAAAAAAATACTAAATCTACCAGATCTAAATAAACCAATAATAGTGATGCAAAAAAATTCAGTATTTTGATTTTGTATTGTTTTAGTAGATTCATGGTATTATTCATAGTTTAATATGCCTTGATATGTTCTGTAGTTTCTTCATTTATTAGCTTTTTGATTATTTTCATACTGTATGTTAGAAAACTTGCATTGCATTTAATAATTTACTGTTCACTGAACGAATAAGGTAATTTTGTATTTAAAATGAATTTGTTGTTTGCGTTTCAAAAACTAAATAATTACTTTCTCTCTTCACCATAGGTTCATATTTTTGACTATTAGTATTATTATACATTTTTCAGATTTTGTTGTTGTTGTTGTAGCATTGAAGGTAAATGGTTTTATTTTTATCTTTTTTTTTTTTGCTTCACCAAAGGGCTACTTTTTTGAAAATCCAATTTCATTCCTTCTAAGAATCCTCTAAATAGTTTGGAATAATTCTCCAACAAGTAGTATATGTTTTCAGATGTTGTGCATTGTATTGTATAGGAACATGTAAACCAGAATTCAACTCCCATTTTAATAAAAAATGGTATGGATTGTTATTGAGCCACATTTTTTGTTGATTTGCTTATAAAATCTTATATTTATTTTAAAATTTATTAAAAAAATTGTTTTAAGATAACTAGTTTTTTAGTATAATTACTTATAAAAACCAAACATGATCAAATAACTAAATGTTTTATTGTTCTTATTCTTTTCACATTTGTAACATGGTATCACAAATCATTGTTAAAATACTAATGTCAAACTAGATATTATGTTAAATGTATAAAAATAAAAGATGATATGTATTAGTATTTAACAACTAATTTGAGCTTTATTGACTATAAAAGTTTTTGAAACTGAATTTTTTTCATCACTGTAAAATATATGCAGTAATATTTAATGTATTTATGCAGTTGCATAAGCTTCTACTTTATCTAGAAGGGACAATTATCTCAACATAAGAAAGCAAAAATAATTGTGTTACATGCTTCTTGAAGAAAATTATGTCAACCCTCCCCCCAATACCACAAGTCTGTGTCAAACTGGTAACTTGCACAGAGAAAAAATAAATAAAAAAAAACTGGAGCAAATGTAAGAAACATTTAGTAAATAAAATGTTTTAAAAAATTAATCCCCAATATAAAAATAATTTAATTTTGAAAGATAATAAGATATTTAATTTTACATGAAACTGAATTGTGGAAGATGCAAATAGATCTGAAATTCTACACACCTCTGAAACTTCACTGCCTTTATTAAAAACAAAAATATATTTGTTGTTAGTCATTAATATAACCTTCACTGTTTACCTCTAGAATGGCAATGTAGTCTCAATACTGAGAAAGTTACCTTGACTATTAATTTTATAGCATGTGTCAATTGCATGAAATGTGTTAAGGAATTTTGGTGAATTAACCACAAGTTTCTTGAACGTATTAATAAATAAATTCTTGGATTGATGTATAGTGCACTTCCTTCATTTAACACACACAATAAGGATATCAACATGTCCTCTCCCATATAGTGTTCTATAATATACTACTGTGTATTCAATGGTTTCTCACAATGTGGAGTATAGTTTCAACACCATTTTGTCCACAGATTGAAGATACACTGTAGAATCTTTCATGTGCCCTCTCCAAGCCTGTTTGACACCAACAGTTTGTCTAGTTATCAAAGATTATGGAGGTGATGAATTTTTTATGATTGGAGCAATCTTGGAAGTACAAGTTACAACTTTTTACTTTGATCTGTTCCATCTTTCTATTTCTGTATATTGTATCACTGTTCAAGTGAATCCAGCTGAGATCAGTGTATCTTAATATCTTAACTGCAATTAGCTACTGTGTGCTGAAATAATCTTTCTGCTTCACTTTTAATTAATGTAATGATAGTAATGAAGATACTTTTAGAATATCAACTTCACTCTAAGCTGAGCACATTGACTGATCATGATACTCTTGATGTTTACAGAATCTACAACTTTCTTTAATGCAAAGCTCTCTCAATAGTGATCACAATTTCCATAATTTTGCCCAGAAGTGAAGTATACAGTGAAGTAAAAAGTATTCTCACGTCTCACAAGATTAGCTTTTCTCATCCAGTGCTGCCCTCTATGTGAAAATGTTTTCCTTACTCATGCTACAAGCTTTCTTCTCCCCCTATTGGAATCAAATGATTACAACATGTCTCTCATGCAAATCATCATGCGTCACTTCTCCACCAATAGGAGCGTGACATACGTGATGCATGTCACTCCCTCTTTATGCCTCTAGCGAACTATCGCTTCTCGTTTGGTAGCACTTGTGCTTGGATGTGTTCCTTTTTGTTTGTTTAAGTTTGTCTTTAGTATACTCACGAAGTAGTCTTCATTTATTTTCACTTCTAGTTTCTATTAAGACTGTTTCTTAACTTCACTATAATCACAGTTTATTACAGTCGTTTTGTTATTTATATTATTGGTTAACTCTTCCTCATTATGAATTCTAAAGTTCATGTTACCAATTCAGTGGTCACACCTGTGACTAGCGCTATGTCTCGGGTGTGAGCGATCTGGTGAAGGATTTATCCACGTTTATTCGCTGGGAGATTGAACGATAGGTGGGTCAACCTTTGTCTCCGGACCTTGCCACACTTCCTCCTAAACAAGCTGAGCCTTTTCAGGCAGACGAGGACTTGGATTGCTTATTTAAACCTCCTCATTTTGCCATACCTTCCCATGCCCCACCTAAGGAGTCAGCTAGGCATAATACAGTCTTTTGGGATTTTTTTCTCGGGTATATGATATTTTATCCAATTTCCTATGAACTGCTTCCTTCCTTACTACATGACCAATCTTCCCATCCCTATTTGGTTTTCCCCCTCCCCGGAAATTTGGGTACAATTAAGTGACGGTATTAGCATGCCTCGCCCCCTCTGGGCTTTGGATCAGTTTGCTCTTGCATATCATCGTGCAGACTGTCCTTTTCTGGACCAGCAATTGTTAGGTTCCATTTTGCCTGTTTGGAGTGCAGCCCCGATTCTCCTGTAGGTCTGACCCATGCCCAATTTCCTGCCTTCGTCTTACCCTCACAACTCTTTTATGGTATCTGTCTACCATCCATCTCCTCCCTGAGGCTCTCCACCGAAATGCTGAGGGGTTTTCTGGGGACATCCTCTCCCTTCTTTCTTCACTGTTGGCTCGTTTGCCGTCTTCAACTCTGGCTTTACATATATGGTTTCTCTGTTGTTTGGACCTTCTAGGTCGTTATGCGACCTTAACTCACATCCATTTACCATCATCTTCAGGATTTATGTATGGCCCAATTTCTGCTGTGATTCATCTTTGACACAATCCCCGAGTCTTTGGAATCACGAGTTGCATCAGTACAACAACAGTCTATCCTTTCCAACCTTGTTGCTCATTTGTCTAAGTCAGAGCCCAATATGGCACTTGTTAACGTGTCCCCTCTCTGTCCTTCCTTCTCAGGGTGTCTCATCTTATTATTTTCATCGACAACGCTCGTCACGTTGCTAACATTATCTGTGACTATCTGGCATCCTTTCATCAAGGATCATTGTTTCTTCAAGTTTTATTAGAAGGATTCGTGATCTCATTTTCTCCCCACCTCCTAGACTCATTTCCTTCACCCTGCCTTGGGATCCCATGACCAGCCAGTGTCTGTTGGAGGTGGTTCAGGAACTACTTTCTCAGCAGGCCATTGAATCTGTTCTACATCCTTCACCAGTTTTTATTCCAGACTCTTTCTTGTTCCAAAGAAAACCACGAACTGGAGGCCTGTCATTGATTTGTCCCATCTCAATCGCTTGTTTCAACTGCCCTGTTTTACCATGGAGTCATTTCTCACCCTATGGTGGGTATTTTCTCTGGGCTTATGGATGACCAAGATCGAAATTGTCAATGAATATCTCCACAGTCTCGTCTATATCTTCTGTTCATCCATCACGAGGTGGTTTATCAATTTTGTGCCCTACACTTCAGACTTGTTTCCACCCGTTGTGTGTTTCTGTTGGGTGCTCACCATCTTCATGCTCTGGGGTTGGACAACTGGCTTCTTCTGGCTCATTTTGAAATGGAATCGGCCAGCCATACTCGTCAGCTCCTTCTAGTGGCTGCTCAGGTGGATTGGTTAATCAAATTGGAGAAGTCCTTCACCCAATCTTCCCAATATTTCGTCTACTTGGTTGTCTTTTTTTACACTCATCCTAGTCGGGCACAACCTTGTCCTCTACGACTTCGTTCCATAGAACTGTTATTTCACCACACTCTTTCAGCTCCATCACTTTCTGCTCATAAGGTTCTATCACTTTTGGGGCTGTGGTCTTCGATAACATCACTGGTCCCCCTTGATTGTGCACATATGAAATCCCTTCAGTGGACTCTTCATGATTAATGGAACCTTGCTCAGGATCCCGTGTCAGCCCCCATTACCCTTCCTCATCCCTTGATGGACAGTTTACATTGGTGGTTGGACAAGGCCCATACATCAGTGGGTGTCCCACTTCCTCCTCCCCATCCGGATTTATATCTTTTCAAGGACACATCTATTCAGGGCTGGGGTGCATGGGTCAATCACCAGAATGCTTTGGGTCATTGGTCTGTAGACGAAAGATCTTTGTATATCAGTGTCCTTGAGCTTCTCGTGCTCCATCAGGCCTTGAATCACTTCTTTCCTCGTGCCAAACATTTTCTAGTGATGACTCATTCCAACAATTCTATGGTGGTAGCACATATCAATCACCAAGGGGACAAAGGATTGTTCCAGTTCTGTCCTTTTTGCTATTGCTCATTATATCTTATTCTAAGGATGTTATTGCTTTTCTAGAGGTTCCGGTCAGTTTTGCTGTTAGGAGAGTTGATTTATATTAGGTGAAGATAGTATGATCCTCATCCTACCCCCGCATAGATGTCAGTTCCTAGCAGCATAGGTTTTGGATATAGTTGACTTACTGAGTATGGTACATTGTACCCTAGTCACTCTACACCTAGGGGCACATCCATTGTTTTACCCACTTTTATACTTTGTGGGATTGAGTTACATATATATATATATTTACATGGATATGATCACTATCTTGCCACAGTTCTCTCCAGCTTGGATGTGCTTCTCTCTTTTTCTGCCCTTACCTACTACACATTTTACAGATGGGCGAAGAGTATATCTGGTTTCGAAGTGGTGAGGTTCCCTTCATCAGATATTTGCATCTGACTCTCACTTCCAGGGGTATCACTCAGATGCTTTTGGGGGTACTTCTGTCATTCCCTTGCACCAGTCCTGTCACTTAATCAATGTGGGATTCTAACTAATCTTGTGAGCATAGGGAAGTACTGTATCAGAAGCTATAATTTTCCTCTACTGAAAATGTATTTCCAATAGGTACTCCACTGACACTTCTCATCCTTCCTCCCCACATTCCTCTGGTGCTTATGTTTTCTGTCAAACAAACCTTGAAGTAATAGTTTGGTAGAGTCACATTTGCCACGTATGTCATGCTCCTATTGGTGAAGAAGTGATGCATGACTATTTACATGAGAAACATATTGGGGGGGGTAGCAAAAGGCTT